CCGGAGTGATCTCGGAAGCTGGAGAGGGAGGAATGACTGCTGCCAACTGAGGCAGGCGCGGTAGATGACACGTAGGTGCCGCCGCTGTTGGTGGAGCTGGATGTATAATTTCCGCTTGAGGTGGTAGCGCTGTTTGCTGGTCTGGGCGATCTTACTTGTCTTGGAGTAGACGGGTCCTGACTCGTCGGAGTTCGGGGGTTTCGAGAGGAGGGAGAGGACCGAGTAGGACGAGTTCGGACTGAATTAGGATCGGAGGCGTTGATCGCCATTTTAGTTTTGCACATATGGAGGTAAGGAATTCAATTCGATCAGCAGTTAAAGAAACAAAAAAAAAAAAAAAAAAGGGTTGAATTTCTACCTTCAAAATTAGTGGATTTTGGTGAAAAAATTGATTTTTCCTAGAAAGGTTCAAAACCCAGGGATGACTGATTACACGAGTGACGCAACATGGCATAGAAAGCGAAAGAAGAGAAAGAGGAAGACGGAAGACGGTGGTTTGCTAATGTGCGCTTAATGACTCAGCGCATTATAGCATCGTGCGCCCTTTTTAGTTATTATGGTCTTGGTTGGCTTGGGACTTTTCAAAAGGGCCTCTCATTTTTCTTCCAGACTCCCATAATTATGAAAATTGAATTCTGGGATAGCTAAATATAGAATTAATGTAATATATTAATTTTAATTATTTAAAAATCAAATATTTATTTTTTAAGAAAGATAAAAATTGAGGGAGTTGGGTCTTATAATTAATTTTTAAGCAACTTAAAAAGGTTCTTAAAAAGAAATAAAATGAATAATTGGTTGTAAATTAGTCTATTGATATGAAGGGCAATTTATATATATTGAAAATAATTTTAGGTTGACATTAAATTTTTAAGTTTAGGTCTTGGAATTTTTTTGAAATCTTTTATCTTTAATGTAGATGATAGGCTTTTTTTTGACTAAATTGAAAATGAATTTAAGTGAAGTATATCTGACTTTTTTTAAAAAAAAAGTATATAATATGATATATTATATGGTATAAAATATAAAACATGATAGATCATAAACAAACTGAAATTAATAAGGAAATTGCAATGATATGATTGCAAAATTTATTAGAAAACAAACAATCTCATAATTTTCTCCATCCCCAAAACCATATAACTACATATTATGCACACACCCATAGAGTTACAGGGTAAGATTATCAGATATATATATGTATATATGTATATAAAGTCTTCTATATAGCCAACAGATACTGAAATTCAAAATCATAAGGTATCTTGTCTACAGTGATGGAGATTTTGGCATTATTATTCTGGGTTCTGAAACAATCCACCATTGATTTCCTCAACGAACCAGACGTGGGTAACTGGTGACAGACCCACTCCACCAATGTCTCAATATCAAATGCAAAATCCAGCAAGTGTTGAAGCAGAAGTTCAGGGAACAAAATCCTTTTTGTGTTGGTCACCACAATTGAAGCTTGCAGGTACTCCAGCTTTGATTTCTCTAGCTCACCTATTACACCATCAGCTGTATATACCCTTACCTGCATTTACGTAACTTACTTCCCGTTTGTATTTTCAATTTATATCATTTATAACTGGTGTTTGGATTGAGTTATTACTTTTTTTTTTTTTTTGTGTGCTTTAAGTAGAAAAAATCTCGACCTTTTCATGATTATAACAATATTAAGTAAAGATTAAAAGATGATTTCAAGACGACGGGGAGAAGTTAGTTTTTTACGTACTGCTGGGGATGATCTTGTTCCATAACAAAGAGCAAACGTGATATTAGGATCCATTGATTCCAGTCCATAAAGTTTCCGGACAATGGTTTCTTTGTCTTCCTTGTCACCCTTTTGATAAGCCTATGAAAAGAGAAACACAGTTCAATATGGTGTGTAAAATGATACAACTTCTATATCAACCATAGAATCGATCTTGTTTACCTCTTTGATGATAGGAGATGTTGGCTTCCTTAGAATATAGTGTTCTATTGCGTGTGCGCTTATAGTATTGCCTCCAACGTTAAGTGTTGCCTGAATATAGATACAAATGTCTTTCATTGGTCTTGAAAGCAAGAAGAAATAACTTCTCAAAGGTAAAAATGGAATTTTCTGAATGAAGAAGATACAAGAAGGTTTCTCCATAAAGTTTTGATTTTAACTAGATTCAGGGTATAAACATTAAGTAATTGATAGTAGCTAATTATCTCAAAAACTTAAATATATATAGAAGTAGCCGATCTATTTTTTGTATATTAGTACTCATTTTCGAGCACAAGCATGTTAGGCTGAAGTCGTCATCAAGCACAGATCTCCTAAACTCAAATACTAACTACTCTAATACGATGTTAAATAAGAGAGTTAAACTGGGTTTTAACAAAAGGAAATATTATCAGGAAATAATCAATCTACCGTCTATATATTAATAGTAAAAACAAATTTGTGGTGTACCTTGTTTATCAACTCAACCATATGTTCTGGTGTATTAGGCACTCCATATTGGAGAAAACCCTGAAATGGAAGAAAGAATGATACAACATGAGAATCAAAATAAAAGAAGAGGATACAGATGTTAATGTGTGAGATTATGCCCACAACAGGCTATATTTTTTCAATAAGCATAAAGAAAGTAATGGAAATACATATATTTTTTCATTATACATGCATGATACAAGCATTGTACATGTTGATCCAGAATGCCAATTTTTGCTGGTAAGTCAAGACACTCAAGTCCACAGAATGCAGATTGTTCATCAAAACCCTGTTTCAAAATGAGAAGGTGAAGATTGAGATTGGAAAATTTACCATATTATTCATATATATATATATATATATATATATATAGGAGAGTATATCAAGAATCTTAAGTCTCTTTTCTTTGTTAGCTCATACTTCTAAATTTAAGCATAATTTTCTGCATGTGACAATCTGCTCCATTTACCTTAACTTTCTTATTAAAGGAACAGAACTGGAACCTGAAATGCATTTGGGGTCCATAGAACTTGAAGTGAAAATAACCAAATTTTTGTAAGGGCCAATATCCCTTGGTATAGATTCATCTACGTTGAAAATTCCATAGGGATCCTGTTGCCTTGATTCCTTATGGGACATAAGACTTGACTTTGTGATCAAGCCGGTATCACCCCTGAAGCTTCTCGAGTTTAAAGAGGATGGTGTAGATCTGGAAATGGATCCAGACTTGTCTAGTTCCATTGCTCTTGATGTTCTAAGTAACCTGACATATATGAAGTTCAAGCATTTCATTATGTTCTCAGCAAGCTTGTTGGGATGCCAATTCTGAATGTTCTCTTCTGATAGAATGACACTTGATAAAGATTTCGGGGGTAGGTCCAAGGAGGTCTCCTGAATACGTTCTCTCAACTGAAATAAAGCATTAGCTAAACTTAGAAGATGTGTATAAGATGATATTAAAGTGCATATTTGCCTACATACCTTAGGTGACGGATGTCGAGGATCACGCAAGGGTGAAGGTGATTTTACCATGCCACTTCTTCTTGGATTTTTCTCTTGTAATTTCAGTTCTTCATGGAAACGATTTTCTTTCTGATCAGCAATTAATCTTGAGCTTCGAAGTTTGTCATTTGCATTGAAATCATTAAGCTTGTAATCACCCTTTATAGCTTTATTTATGAAATGCAAAGTCTTAGTCTCAAATCCAACTTTCTCATTGCCTGTTCCCTTGCTTAAGGGGCTTGGCTGGCTTGCATATGGCGGTGGACGACCTTGGTGGTTGTTTAACATTGCAGGCTGCCACTGTCTTGATTTTGCTTCTTTAGTGAATTCTTGCTCTTGCTTCAAACCAAGTTGGAGCTGACTTATTTGATTTTCGAGTCGAGCTATTTCACTCTCAACCATAGCTAACTCTGCTAGCAGCTCCTTTGTCTGCATAGTTAAAAGTTAACAACCAGCTTGCTTTATCAATTTTTTATTCACATCTATAGATATATCTGCTGAATGTGGAATCATATACAAATGTGAAGTAATTGATGTAATCTCTCTCCAACATCTTTTTTGTATGGTGGAATAGAAAATCCAACAGGGATATCATAATTTGCTTGCCCTGAAAGGCTGAAAGAAATCAATATACCAACAACTTCTTGGAAAGCAATATTATGCAAATTAACAATGCATATTCTAGAAAGTATGCAGGTATCATCACTAGGCATAATAGTGCTTTTTTATTTTTTAAATAAAAAAGAGAACAAGTACTGTTTCAATATCAATATTTTGGGGGTTTTTTAATCAGATTTTACTGATTATAAGAACCCATTAACCTGATATTTGTTTTCATAACTTTAGAATGTAAAAATAGAAAAGGAAGAAAGGAAGGGAAGTTGGGTCACCTTGGGAGGAAGAAAATTTGGGATACTAATATCAGATCCACCAAGATGATGATGCACACCTTCCAAAATCTTATGCATCTTTTCTTCTTGATTCAGCATTTTCTGAAGCATGGAAACCTAAAACATGAAAACTCTCCCACGTAACTACTAATGATATCGAACAATGCTGCATAGCATAATTCTTTTGTGGAACAATTTGTATAAAAATTACTCTTACTCTCATAGTAACTGAAAGATAAATTTACTCAAGTACTGTAAAAGATTCTTTACAGTACTGTTCTAGTCTTATGGGCTGCATAGAAAATGGGATTTGGTCCTACTTTATTGTTCCCTTTATGTCCAAGAACATGCAGCTTAGAGCTTGAAAGGTACTTGCCATTCATGAATAGGTGATGGAGCTTATCAAGAATTAGTACTTCCTTCTTAAAATGAAAGCTTGTGAACATTTTAAGCCATAAGATTTCTCATACACGCAATTATTAATTTTGGAAGAAAGTAGTTCACTGTAGATGCTTCAAAATCTTATATTACAATTCTTTAGATTCCAAAAAAATCACCCTGTTTATCAATTTAGTTATTTTTCCTTTTACTTATCTTTTAGTCTTGTTCTTGTTGGTCTAGTCGTACAAGATTTCCTATATCTTCATAAGAGAGACTTTGTTGTCAAGTCAGGCCTATATGTAATACCCATCACCTATATAATAAATGCCAGTGTAATGCAATTATTTAATGTTAATGATCTAAAAAAATTATATACCAGTTCTAATGTTCTCCTTGCAAGTTAGTAGATATACAGAGAATTGAAACATATATATATGTATGTATGCATCTCTATACCTCTCTTTCAAGTGCATCTCTCTTTTGTTGGCCATTAAGCTTCTTGCTCCTCTGGCATTACAAGATAAAGCAGTAAAAAGTAAATTGAATGACCATATAAAAGATTTAAATTAATCAACGAAATTTTGTCAATCTTATTTGCAATTTTTTCTTTAAAAAAACTAGTTATATACTGATCTTAATCTATTCAAATTCTAGGCTTTCATCATCTGCGCAAGTACACATCTATATTTATATACTCTGGTTTCACAAGCAATGATACTAAAATTAGGAAATCAGAATCACCCATAAGATAAATTAACATGAAATAGACACCCAAAAAAACCAGCAGAAAAATCAACAGTGAACCCAACAAGAATCCTTACAACGTCCAACGAAATATTGTGAGGAAAATTCCCACCCTCAGAAGACATTGAAGGAGACAGATCACCACCAGAGTCCTCCACTTCTTCCCAACCTAAACCCCACCTCAAGCCGCGGAAAAAAGGAGGTCCGATCTGGTTATGAATTTGATCAAACAGGTGGTGATGATAACGGAAAGACCCAAAAAGCTTGGATGCAAAGCAAGATGAAATGTAAGAAGGAGGAGGACTCCCAGTAATACTACTGCTGCAACTGGTTGTGGTTGATGATGGTGTTGACATCTGATTTTGAAAGAAGAAATGTGAAGAAAAAAGGAAAAGTTTTGTTGTTGGTGATGTGTGCCGGAGGAAGAAGATGAAAGGGAGCTTTCAGAGTGTGGCTTGGTTGGTTTGCTGTTTAGCTTTTAAGGCTAAACCGTGTGGTTTGTGAGGGGGACGTGATCATGCAAAGAGCCGGGAGTTGGTGTTGACGTAGCTTCTAAACCAGGCCTTTGTTGTGGGTTATCATACACACACACACACACACACACACACACACATATAATATATATTTACGTAATTACCAACCGCTTTCACTGTATAACTGATAATTTCTTAACTTTTGAAGGTGTGGGCTAGAGTTTCTTATTTTTTATAAAGAATGGAGGGTTCAAATCTGTGTTTTGTGTTATGATTAGAATAAATATATAAATTTTTATTAAAAAGTTATACTCAAGTTTATATATGTTAGTACTACATTAAATATAAAATAATCTTAAAAAAATTTGAGGAATTATTATTTACTTATATACAGTTAGATAAGACATGCATAAATATTTTTTAAAAATTAATAATTCTACGGAAAATTAACAAAAGAAAGAGAAAAATTTATCAACTTTCCATCTGCTCGTAAGATTTACGAATTTGTTCCCTGTAGTTTTCATCAAACCCGAGCTCTTTTCCATGGTGAAGGATCAAACTCATGCGCTGTAGTGGAAGCTTTCTCTTCTTGGCGGCTTTCTTGGCTGTTGTGAAGGATTTTTGTCAGTGTGTTTGCCTTGTTTTCTTCCAGGCTAGTGGTTTTCCATGGTGGGTATTGTTTCTTGTTTGAGATGGGAGAAGAGTAGACTTTAGATTCTCCTGGGAATATATCCTGGTGAAGCTGAAACCTCCATTGATGAGACTGGAGAGAAAAGGAAGGAGAAGAAGATACGTGGGTTTTCACGTGCCTTTCACGTGATTTAAGAATTCTAAAACCCTACCAAAACCCCCGTCTCCCTTTCTCAATTCTGAAGCCAGTTTTCGTCTTTCCCTTCTTCCATTGTCTTTTCCAGGATTTTCGAGGTAATCAAGCGGACATCGCATCATGATATCTCGCCGTTTTTTGTCATTTTCAATCGATTGCATTCGCGGTCTTTCTGCAACTAAGGATTTCAGCTCAATGGGTAGTCTCTTCAAGATTATCTCCAAGCCCCAGAATTACTACTCTCCGTGTAGAAGTTTGAGTTCTATATCGATCCTGATCCATAGAAAGCCCATGGAGACGCCATTTCACGGTATCTCTTTTTCTTCTTTTCATCATTTGTTTCTTTTATCTGTAAAAGTTCGAAAAATTGAACATTTTAACCTTCTCCTTAATTGTTTTTGAACATTGCTCTGCTCTTCCTATTCATTCCCACTTCACTTATTCTTGGTTCTTTTACTTTGTTATTGTTTATAACTTTTTTCTTTGGAAGATTGAAATGTAAAAAGAAAAGGAATTGATCAATAACAAAAAGGGTATGCCAAAAGTATTTTGTTGATTTCTTTCTATTAAGAAAATACTGAGAGGTAGAGAAATATTGGTAAGAGAACAGTGATGGTTGGGAACCTAATTCCAAAAGTGAAGTTTGGTCCCCTTTTTGCAGAATGAAGGAAGAAGATTGAAACTGGTCAGATATAATTTAGAAGTATCTTTTTGCATACCCTTTTCCTCTCTCTCTAGGTATATGTCTATGTATATGTATATGTATATGTCTATGTATATGTATATTTGTTTGTCTAAATGCGCTGTAAATTAATCCTAAAGGGTGCTCAGGCCAGTGTAACAAATTTTCTCTCTTTCTCTAAAGTTGTTTAGGAGTTAGGACCGGATTTTAGATGTGAAGTCCCTTGATGAGACCTTGATGAATTGATTTTTGAGAACTGGAGATTATGTACTTTATTGGTTTCTGATGAATCTAGTATGTGAGATCAAGTAGAATCCAGGCATTCAGACTTTTAAAGGTCGTTTCAGTGATAGTTGGATGCATCTTCCTCTTGTAGTGAGATCGGTGGCAACTTCTTCTGAAGCTGCTGCTGGGTTTGATGAGATGGTTTCCGGCACCCACCGGAAGTATTTCATGATGGGTGGGAAGGGAGGTGTTGGAAAAACAAGCTGTGCTGCTTCTCTTGCTGTAAAATTTGCTAACCATGGTCACCCAACCATTGTAGTTTCAACTGACCCTGCTCATTCCTTAAGTGATTCTTTTGCCCAGGTATCACCTTCTGCTTCCAGGTTCATCTGATTGTTCGAAATACTTGGTATTGGTCCGAGAATAGTTTTTTATTTGCAGGATTTGGTAGGAGGAATGCCTGTCCCTGTTGGAGGAGTGGATTCCCCTTTATTTGCTATTGAGGTATTTGGACAAGGAACAGACTATCAATCTATTGTTTTATATGTGCCTATTTGATGCCAAATGTCTAACCTTTTCTCTGAGACAGATAAACCCTGAGAGAACTCGAGCGGAATTCCAAAATGCAAGTCAAAAGAATGGTGGCAGTGGCGTCAAAAATATTATGGAAAGCATGGGCCTTGGGATGCTTGCTGACCAGGTGAATTTTACCTTCATTTGTCTACAATTGCCTTGTAAATCATAACTTTTTGGCTTTCATGCAAGTTAATTCGTGTATTTGATATGATCGTGTTTAGATTATCATCCATCAAGAAATGATTAAGCTTCGACTAATTAGTAGATGTGGTTGGTTACTTCCCTTTTCAGCATAGCCACTTAATGGCTGGAATTTCCTATCTAATCTAATATATTTAATCCATTAATTTTCCATATAGTTCAGCCTTTTCCATTATTCAGTCAGCGAGTAAAATAAAGAAGTGAAGCCATTAATGTTTCTATAAGAAAAATGCAAGTGATGCTGATGCTGATAACTTCTTGTAAGGTTTTTAACTCGGCAACTCATGGTAATAGCAACACGAGTCCACTTTAGATCTGCTTTTCCTCTTACTATTAATCATTACTGGACTTTTGAGATGCTTTATGTATCTTCTAAATCATACTTGTTATATTTCACAACATCCTTTTAATCTTTTGAATTTTTCATAGATAGGGGAACTAAAACTTGGAGAATTGCTGGATACTCCCCCTCCTGGAATGGATGAAGCAATTGCAATTTCTAAGGTAAGTCTTGTCTCAATAATATTTTATGTAAAACAATTGACTTGTAAATAGTTTCTCATTTCCTATTTCATTTTTCTTGCTACTTTTCCTTGATTTTCATGACCACTGCTGTTGTATTGCAGGTTATGCAATTAGTTGAATCACCAGAATATAGTATGTTCACTCGAGTTGTGTTCGATACCGCACCTACTGTTAGTGAACGCTCACATGTCTTGATATTTGCTTTACCATGTTGCTATCAATTTTATTTATAAGTTTGTTTGTAGGGGCATACTCTTCGACTTCTTTCACTGCCTGACTTCCTTGACCTGTCCATAGGCAAAATGATGAAGGTGTGAATCTAAAACCCAGATTTTGGCCTAACTCAACTTGTAAATGGAAATATTACTGAGCTGTATCTTAAACTGAAAGCAGTTACAGGCTTACAGCTTAAAAATGTAAAAGAGTCATTCTACTTTTCAAGTCTCGATCACGTGATTGATCTGTATGTACGTTGTGATTGATCTGTATATATTCTTGACATGGATTTATGTGGTCCAGCTCAAGAAAAAGATAGCATCAGCCACTTCAGCCCTCCAGTCAGTTTTTGGGAAAGGAAACTCACAGCAGGAAGAAGTAAGCACCAAACTTGTTTTCGAGGTGTTTTGTGGTGTTATTTTCTTACAGTTTTCTGTTTGAATCTGTAGTCTGACAACAAACTGGAGGAACTGAGGAAGAGGATGGGCAAAGTTCGGGACCTTTTCCATGATACAGATGCCATGGAGTTTATTATTGTAACAATCCCAACGGTAATAGCCTTCTCTATATCATCCAATATTGAACATACATAAAATGTAAGTTCATGATGCAACGTTGTATAGATATGGAATCTTTATATCTATATGTGATCTATCCATATCTATAATGAAGAAATTTCATGATGCAAGAATGTGGGTTTTTTAGAAGTACTTTGTGCCTCCTGCTAATCTGATAATCATCACCATCTCTCACTTTATGACTATCTGTTATATTGCTCAGGTCATGGCGGCAAGTGAATCATCAAGGTTGCTTTCAGCTTTGAGGAAGGAAAAAGTTCCTGTTCAGAGGCTTGTTGTGAATCAGTCCTTCCTCCATCAGCATCTGACTGCAAGTTCTGTACAATGAGAAGGAAGGTATGCCTAGTTATTGCACGTAATTAACATATCACATGGTTTGACTATCATTTAACATCTGATAAGAAATTGAAATGAACATATATATTTATTGCACGTGAACTAGTTATTTTGAAAAATGATGGATTTAGTTATTGTTGTACTCATAACTCGAGCATGCATGTCATTGCCTGTTTCACCAAGTTGTATTTGTTCTCATTGCTGTCTAAGATTGTTAAGCAACTGGTAAATAATTGTATGCGTTGATGGTTGCAGGATCAAATGCGTACACTTGATATGGTCCGCAAAGACCCAAAACTTTCTAAATTGAGATTAATCGAGGCACCTTTAGTTGATGTAGAGATAAGGGGTGTTCCAGCACTTAAATTTATGGGTGATATGGTTTGGAGATGAACTATATGTTCATTGGCATCTAAATCAAGGTAAGCTATTTTATACCTTAAACAATCACATTCTTGGGGGATGCTTCCGTAATTCATTTCTTATGGAGTCTTGAGGAATGAAACTCAATGAAGACGAGGAAACAAAGAATGACATGTGCTCCATGATTCCTCTGATGACCATTTTCATTTTCAGAATAAGGCTATACGACATTTTCATTCATGCAGGTGGATGCTAAGAATTTGCTCCACATTTTGAGAGACACCCGAGGGATGACACTGCCATTGTGTTCTAGTATACTTGGAGTAATACGTATATAAAATATCAAGGCTAGCGAAACAACTTATTTAGGCTAACAACAAGGCAGAATCAGAGATTAGAGTGCATGCATGGAAGATGCAAGAAAACTTTGTATCTTCTCAGAATGTTGTTCTTCAATATTCTTATGGGGGAAAAAGAGCTTCCCCTCTATGGAGGTTATCGATGCAAACTTCAAGATTCTTTATTAGCTTCGGGTTTTTTTTTCTTTTTCCTGATAGAAGATTCTTTCATAAATTTAATAATGCCTGTTTACAAAATTTACTGATTAAACGAGGGAAGAGGAGAATCCTTTTTATACATCATCTATCATCTGTCATTAACTAATGAATAGTGAATACAAAAATAGTACAGAGAAACCTTCACATAATCAGAAGGCGGCAAACCTTGAATTATTTAATTGGCCTCACTAATCCACTCCACTCGCTCGTCCACTCCAAACTGACAAAGACGGGGTTTGAATTGTATTTTCATGTTCCCCGATGCAGCTGCTCCTAGGAGGCCATCCTTTCGATTATAATCATCCACCGTCAATTGTCCGTCACTGCTCTTCAACAATCTCTATGGGTTTCTTTCGAAGCAGAAAACTTGCACATCGAAATTTCTGGTTATGGTGCAGAGAAAGCACGAGGGAGAGGTTGAATTTACTTCTTTTGGAAGGTTACCATACAAAAGAAAGCAACACCGCGGCTGAACATGCCAGTAATGACAAGGCAGATCAAGCATTGAACATAATTTTTGAGGTTGTACCCGTTTTTCATTAGCGAACCACATCTTGTTATCAACCAGACTCCCGAATATCTGAAGGTAATAATGACAAGACAGCATTAATGCTCAACTTTAATCAAATTTCAACCACATGCAATATGATTGAGAATAAAATATAACCAATGTAAAATTTAAATAAAACATGTATCCTAAGTTCAAGTTAATCTCATGGCCAATTCAAATTAAATATTTTTGTAATTTCTCATTCAATAAGTAAAAAATATAATTTTACGTTATAGAATTTTGCATATATAAGTTAAGTTTGTTCTGCAAAAAACAAGTTATGGTTAAAATTTACACATTAAATAATTAAAATATAGAAAATTATCGAAACAAAACAGTATTTCAGAATGCGGCATAAGAACAAAACAAGCATAAGTTCAGAGTACAAAAAAGTTGTATATGACATAAGCCAAACCTCTGAGCATTTGAGACCACAAAAGCTTCTAGAGCCCACTTTGTGTAGCAAACTTCAGATATGGTCTCGATTATTTTGTTGTCGTTGCTATTGGTTGCAACCAGAGTTAAAACAACTGGAAGCAGTACCGACCACTGCATCATTTATACACAGGAGGGTTAGTTTGTGGCCGTATGACCATTATGAAGCTAATTGAAGTTTCTGCCTGGATAAATTAAAGAGCTTACGAGTTGAGCTGGACCAGGTTCAAAAAGGATGGCCAACACATAAGCTATACCAGTCACACAGTACACCAGGCATATCAAGACAGCGTAATTATCAATAACAGTTGACCTTGGATTGTTGAAGAAGTAAAACATTGAGAGATACACGAGTGGCTTGACAATTGTATTGAAATGGTCGACTGTGTCCTTAGAAAGAAAGTAAGCTAGACTGCTCATACCAGCTTCTCTCTCTCGCCAGTAGTGTAGCTTATCTAATGAAAACGATCTCAAAGCAGCGATCTTACATAGCAGAGCTGACGGTCAATGAGTTTCAAACATGTTAGTTTTAACAGGGGAAAAGAAGGGGAGGTTAGAAATAGAACATGGTATTGAATGGAAGATGAATTTGCTCAAGACACAACTAAAGTTTATGTGAATTCAACAGTAATTTGAATGACATGATTATACAGTTATTCACTACATATTCAGAAACCAGTTAATTTCAACTTACAAACTGCAATCACGGTGTAGGTATAACCAACTGCCCCAAATGTTTCGTCACTCACTTTGGCAAGCGTTCCTAGGCAAATGCCAGCAAGCAAGAGAATCAGATAATCTACAGCTTGTGTCCTAGCTTCTCGCAGTCGTTGCTTACCAACCCTGCAGAAGCCAGTTCAACAAAATTCAGGATTGTATCATTCAGAAGATAGAACTTGATGAGAATTGACTAAAATTTTAATATTTCTCCTTCACTCAAAGATTTAAAAATATAAATATATCACATGTAGTAAGTGTATATATAATTAAGAAACTCTTTTGAGTCTTTCTTTTTTTTTTAAAGATAAAAAACAAATACATTTGACACCAGAAGAAAATTCAAACATCAATGTCTTGTTAACATATGAAAGATGATATCAGCATTTTACCTCCCAAGGAAGTATCTGTACTGCTGAAAGACACCAGGGGTTTCCCGTTGTGATAAGTCACCAGAACTAGTAAAATTATCTTGTAGATTGTCCTTCTTCACCTCAACATTATGCTTCATATCTTGCCAAAATTCTCCTGCAAAAGACTCTTCCTCTGATCCACCAGTAACACTTCCATGGGCTGAATTTTCGCTGGATGCAGCTGCCGACATTCCTTCGACACTTTTTAGCATATCCATTGGGACAGGATACCCATTGTGAAGCATCCATCTAACAGGAAGTTGTTTGTAGTTGACCCCTGAGCTTACACTTGGTTTTACTATGCCCTCCAAGATGTCAATGTAGTAATCTGGAGGATTAACACGCTCGGGCACATTAATACCAAGGCCAGAGAAGTACTCTTCAACTTTTTTTACCGATCCATGATATACTGTGAGACCACCTTTTGCTAGAAGTATCAAATCATCAAACATTCTGAACAATGTGTAACTGCAGCATAGGAAGAAGAAAAAACCGAAATATTTTCAGCCAAAAGTGAATAGTGGAGAAAAATAGAACACAAGCAACCTCTCAATTAACTAGTTTATTTGAACTGCATAATTGAGATTAGGACTTCATGCAAGGGCTATATCTTCCGTTGCAAGTGAATTTTTCAGGACTAGTGCAACTGTTTTCATTTATGTTCTTTCCATCTCTAACCATTTTGAATATCATGAGGAGCCTGAAATTATCTAGGAAAGTAAAAAATATCTGCAAGTATAATGAGTTTAAACAGCTGAAAATAGGCTGTGCCTCAGTTACATTACAGAGCACGGCTCTGTTACAAGTGATTATCAAAATGCGGAAATCCACAGTTTTAAGTTGTATTTGATTAGCTGAAAAAAAAAAAATTAGCAACCTGTATAAATTATGAAAATAATTATTTCATTGGTGGAGAAGCAGATAAAGGAAGATGTCACAAACTGAATATTCAACAGAAAATGAAAGATTAAAAAAACCTTGATGATGTATCAGAAAAGTCAAATTCTTGGAATTGCAAGGAGAATCTTACCTCGGTTGGTGAACAACCATGCAAATGTTAACTCCTTCTAGAGCTTCTCGTCGAAGCGCCCTAAGTAGTAACTGGGAAGATGAACTGTCCAAACCAGATGTGGGTTCATCTAATATCAGAAGTGAAGGTTCCATCACCATTTCCAATCCTACATTTACCCTTTTCCTCTGACCACCAGAGATTCCTCGCTTCTCCACTGTCCCGACGAGAGAATCTCGGACAGGCTGCAGACCTAGGGACTCAATGACTCTTTCAACAACCAAAACTTTCTCTGGTTTTGGCAGATCAGCTGCAAGCCTAAAGATAATCAGGACCAGTCAATAATAAGGAGCAGGAAAGACAAGCAAATAAAACAGGGGCTGGAGTTTTGCCAAGAGGAATGCAAACTAAGCTATCAATGCGTGCCTATAAGACTTCATGTATCTTGATTCAAAACAAAAGTAAAACTTTATGTATCTCTAGGGCCATGCAGGAAGATGCCAGAAAAAGACATATTTGATGGCCCTTCTCTCTATGTGCCCTGATATTTATTATATAAAGGAAGATGTGCAATTAGGTTTAATATCCTTTGCGGTTGGATATGCTATAAAACAGCTGTAGCAAAAGTATAAAAGAATCTCAAGTCAATAATGACAATATAAAGAAAAAAAAAATCTGTCATTCATGTCGAAAAGATTACAATCAATAGCAAATAACATACCATGCAAGTCGAGTGATTTGCTCGAGCTAAATTAGCATACCTGCATCTTGCACTGAACCAGAGATTCTCCTCCACTGTCAAGTTTCCATGGACGATGTCATCTTGTGGCACAAAACCGATAATTTTCTTGTATGACTGAATTGACTCAACCTTTCCATTTATAAGAACCATGCCGCTCATCATGCAACCATGTGCCTTTCCGGTCAGAGCAGAAAGAAAAGTTGTTTTTCCAGCACCAGATGGACCCATAACAGCAGAAACTCGACCAGGCATTAGCTTCCCAGTCACACATCTCATAAGATGTTTGTTTTTCCCTCTCAAGGTGATTGTTAGATCTTTAAAAGCAACTTCAATCATAGGCCTCTTCCTTATTTCGATATCGTTAGCCATTGAGATTACCCCTGAGAAGGTTAAGTTCTTATTCTGCTCCTGCATAGCCTTTTCCTTCTCAATTTGACCGTATGCATACCTGAACATTTGGCTCTGAGTGTGCAATTGCTTACCCTTTGGTGCATTCTTCTTGATATTTCTGTCTCCAATATCCAGATTGAAGCCCTCATTACTTTCAGGGTCCTGCTCAATGTCATGTATCATCTTTGTTAGGTTGCTTTTTTCTTTCTTTTTTCCCTTTGATGGTTTATTGGATGTGTTTGAACTACCCGGTAAAGGTGGTAATGCAGCATCTGTTCCAGGTTTGGCTTGGCTTATACCTCTCATCAGATCTGATTTCATAGATTTTCTGCGAGAAAATGTACGTGACAATGATGTCTGCAGGTCAATTGCAT